CGCCTGCCTACACCAAAAAGTCCCCGTCAAGAGGTTGAGGCCTATGAGGTCAAATATGGAGCTTCTTAGATCCTCCAGGACAAGGCATGGCTGCATCTGGAGAAGTGATTCCAGAACGGGAGTGGCTCTGGGCAAAGTGATCAGGGAAGGAGGAAACCTCAAAACAAGGTAGTCGATCACTACTTCAGGCAACTGAGCTCCATCCAGCTGGAACCTTCAGTGAAGGACTGTATGCAGAATGCACCTCAAAATCACCCAACAAACGGAGAGGAGGGGAGCACTCGACTGCCTGAGCCTGGGATGATCACACAGTGGGGAGAAACTCCCTCGCACTCATACGCAGAAGTGAAAAGTGGATCCCCACAGTAAGGACTGGGGAAACAGAAGAGCCTCCCAGTCAGCTGAGGAGAGGTGCTGCCAAGCCACAGGAAAACCTGTGATGGCAATGACTAGAGAGAAAGGTAGATAAGCAGGGTATGAGGGTAAGGTGGGCCCAGGAAGGGTAACAACACTTCCTCACTGCGGAGATATCTGTGCCCAAAGGGTTAACAGCATCACCACTGCAAGATTAACAGTACCTCTGGAAAGCCTTCTATTAGCAAACACAGAAGAGAAACAGTATGGCTCTCAGATACTTCTAATTTTGCTTTTGTGAAAAAAGAGTAGTTGTATTTCTATCTCAAATTTTGTGCTACTGGAGGCTATGATGTAAAGAAGGGGAAAACACATACACATATTCCTATCTGTCGGGGTGTTTGTTGCCTAATGGCTAGTTAGTTTATAAAGACAACAAGGAATACTATCATAATGGTGGATCTAAATGTCTCTGAAACTTAAAATGGCTGTTTTTAAATCTGTAATGGAAAAAGGACATACCATTTAAAATTGTCATACTGCAAGGGGTCGAGCCGTAATGCCAATCTGAAATGCATATGGGGGGTGTGTGTGTGTGTGATTTAAGAGCCAGTCACATGACAAGGACGAGAACACAAAATGCTAAGAGAAGGGAAAAACCCCGAGGGCATTGTCTTTATTTTTTTTAAACTAACTCAAATACATAGAATGGTAAAGGCAGAGTCATTTAAATCATTTCCTTAGTAATACAAGTAATATTTAAATAGATTTAATAGTGCTGCTCCAAACCAATGAATTATGGGTTTAAAACCTATTAAAATGTAATGTTTTTTTCCTGAGCTGAGAGGAGAGAGATTTAAATCCACTGAATTTTAATATTTCAGCTTGAGCTGCAGGAGGTAGAGAAAGTCCAAATGAACTATTCCATCAGCACCATTCAAGCATGAACATTTTAATCAGTTTTACTTCCTTGGAGTTCTCTAACACAGTTTACGCTGTCATTCTGAAAGCACTTAACACAGAGAGTGTGAAAACCCACCAAGGCTTGTTATTGCCTTCACAATTGATGGCAAATAATTTTGCAGACTTCCTATCATTAAAATGTCACTGCTAAAAATTGAAGTTCAGCATTTCTTGTGCTAAACTGCATTTTCCTACAACACCATGGCATACCTGTTCTTAAGGATTTTTTAAGGGGGTGTGCTTTTTTTAAAAAAATGCATATTTATATCATTTCTTTCCTCAAAGAGGTTAAAAAAGTGAAGGAAGGAATCCAGAGGAACCCCAATTTCTATGTTTACAGGCTAAACATTTCCTTTTCCAATGTCCATACTGACAAAACTTTTTCTCTTAATGTTAGTTTCTTTGGTGAAATTCTTATGAGGTTCCAACTTAGCCTCCTTTATTAAGCATAACCACATTCACACAGCATGTGCTGATTATATAGTGTAATGGATTTAAAAAACATTTTAAGATAGTCAGATGACTCAATTTAATAATACAGGAAATGAAAACATCATTTCTAATTAGATCATATTACTGATTTAAAACTACAGTTTGTGTGTTGTTCCAAAAGTGTGATCTTACAGAGATTCTAATTTAAAAACACAGTGGCTAGCAGGACACATGACATGATTTAACTAGATGCAGAACATTCCCACAGCCCATTTGGAGGAACTCTGGGAAAGCTTCGAGGAAATGGGAAAAACGAACAATTCAAAGCAAAACAGGAAATATTAACTATAGAAAACAACACAGGCCTTTCCCTGGGTTTTTTTCCTTATAAATAAAAGACAAATGATATTTAACTTATTTCAATCTATCAACAGTTTTAAACTGAACATGACCTGTGAAAGAAATCATTATAACTGTGTTTCATTCCATTAAACACAACTAGCTTATTGTCAAGAGAACAAGCCGCCTCTCCAGGTTTCAAGCTCACTTCAGCTTTTTGCATTTAAACTGCATGGATCACTGGTTTGGCTCATTTACCAACGAAGGTAGAATAATATTGCAGAGTTAAAAAGGTGCTTCATCAGATTTCATTAAATTGGGGAACATCTGCACTTGTCTGGATGGTGTGCCTACATACAAAACAGATACATATGCAGTGGCAAATAAATGAAGGTCTGCAGGGGCTTAGATGGGCCTTTGCCTCTCAGGAGGGGAAGTTCCCTTGGTGCAGAAAATCACTGTTGACTACCTAAAAATTAAGTCACAAAAATCTAAAACTGACCCCTCGTCACTTTTGGCAGCAGGTTAAAATATCACCACCTCACAACACAGCCATGCCTAACAGGGCCCAGAACAGTAGGTGCATATAGAGGGACACAATGGTATAACTCTGAAAGGTAGTGGACAAGAGGTGCTAAGAGGGGCTGAAACAAAGAAGACGAACAGTAGCCACAGAAATGCATCAAGTGAGTCGGTTGTGATGGGGCTCTTCCCTTAGCACTTGGTTTGTGATTTCCCAAAACTGCTGGTTTTGTTTTTCTATTTCTGCAATCTGTTTTTCAGAACAGATAACGTGATTTTGATTCCATTTTCAGCTCAGATACAAATAATTTGGAATTGCCACCAGATCCACAAACTATAGAACACAGTGCTTTGATAGCGTGCAGCTTTACTGACTTAGTTCTTCAAATAAGTCTTTAGGTCACCAAATGAAATTAGCTTTAATAATTAAACCCATATATGCACAATATGTCTGTCAGTTACTCAGCTACAGTCTAACAAATCATCTTCTGCCTGAGAAAAGGCAATCTGCCATCCCATTCAAAACAAAGTATGTAAAAATGAAAGAGATATAAAACAAGTGTTAAAAATATACTTGATGTGATGAAAGAAAGGGAACTTGTTCTGCTTTAAGAACAACATCCAACACAAAACAATGCAGTTTTGATTTAGATTAATCTCACCACTGTCCAGACAGTAACTAATAAGACTCAAAAAGAAACAAAAAAACATTCCAGAAAAGGCTGCCCACCAGACATGAGGTAGGCTAGCTACCTGTATTTCAGAAGTTCATATAAAAATAAACACCACACCAGAAATGACCCAGGAGGCTCTCCTATGGGTCCTCACCCACACATTCTCTCCTTCAACAGGAGACAAGATAGAAGGTAAGAAAAACACGTTCTATGCTGAGTGACCTTGAGAGATTTGGTAACCGAACTACATCCCTGCTGAGTGACCTTGAGAGATTTGGTAACCGAACTACATCCCAACAGGAAGACAACAAGTGCTTCAAGCAAATACAGCTGGTATGTACATATACGCTAACGTGAAAATATAAGCTTTCTCAGTGTTTTAAAAAAAAATTATTACACTGCCGTTCTCTGGAATTTCTGGAAATAAAAACTAATTGTGAAATGTAATTATCTCTCATCTCTACCCTACCCCCAGAACACAGAAAATGTATAAGAAACGAGTCTCTACATGGCTTGTGATTCATCCTCTTCTTTCCAACGGGCACTTCCAAGGAAATAAAGGTTACTCTTCTCCATTTACTATGCCTTCTAATCTACTACCAGTATTTTCTTGTGGTCAGAGGGACACAAAATAGAGCTCAAAACAGCCCATTAAAAAACAAGTTCCAATCAGACTATAGCTCCACAACCATCGGCAGCCATCCCAGAGTTCTGATTTCCTTGTTAAAAGACAGAGGCATAATTGAAGCAATATCTTCACTTCAGATTGATTATCAGGCGACCCTTATCCGCATCTTCACTCAGCAATTTGAATTTTAATGAAAGTAAATGGAATAATTAGCATTTCAAAGTGTGTTTGATACACTGAGGGCAAAAAAAGAGAAAAGACTTTTGTGTATTATCTATACACAAAAGAAAGTATTGGGGGGGGCAGAAAGAGTAAAGTACAGTTGACATGTCTTCATTAAAATAATCTACAGAACCACTCCTAACAGCTGCATAAACAGAGATGTGAATATTGTGCTTTTTGTCAGCTAGGATTTCTTGCCTTTCTAAGTTTTAGCACCTTTTTTATTACTGGTTACCTTAACTGAGGAGAACAAAAATGTAAGTGGAATTAGAGTAGCTGCTCAAACCCATGAATTCCAGCAAGATTTCTATGCAGCAATACTGGTACTGTGAGGGATTTTCCAACTGGGCCGCTGATTTTACAAAAAGCTATATAATTCATCTATCATTTTTACTACAAATGGACACTAGTCCGTAAGAACCACTCATCAAAGGTGAGGAAGAGTAGCAAAGAGATGTGAAAATGTATATTTTATTTCACTAAATATGATATTAAGACAACCTATTTTTGAGGAAAGATAAAAGAAATCAGGTCATTTTAACATTAGGGCAATCTGTGTCTTTTGACTGGCAATAGGCTAGCGATAGAGGCTGATTGTGAAGGAAAGAAATACTATGAAAAAGAACTACCTAGTCTCCCTATGGGGAGAATTTTCAGGAACATGTCAACTGGTATTGGTGAGAATGTGTCCAGAGTTTCTGAGGCAGCCATCAAACTTGGTGAGATTGAAGGCCAAGTGCTCCATTTCACTATGGGATCCTCTATTGTCTTTTGCCTCTTTGACTTAACAAAATTTAAAGAGAGCGCGCGAGAGAGCCAGCGACAAACACTGAGATGATCAGAGCCAAAACGGAAAGGCCACGTACCCCGATGATGGCGTTCAGCTCTGCCATGGTCACCTGCTTGGCCCGCTCCACAGCCTGCACCACTTGTTGCTGGTGCTATAAATGAAGATCAGAAACAGAATACAATTATTTGTTTTCTGGTCAGTCAAGAACAGCTTTTCCTAACATGTCCTCTAACTTTAATTACATGCAAAACAGGATTCAAGGGGTCTCCATATTCAAATAAAAGCCCCAAGTGGTGGAAGACTGTCGAGGGTACCTCTGTGTCTACAGAGCTGAGGAGTAACTGGACATCCAATCGCAGGGATCATCCCTGTGCCCCCATGAAGGATGCTCGCTTACAACTGATAGAAGCAATTAAATTGTACTTTCGAGTCAGTAGGACACTGTGACCCAACATCTTCCGATATACTAACAAAATAAAACCACCCATCCCACCTGCTTTCTCTATATCACCTTACTCTCTGCCACCAACAAAAAATATGTTTTGAAAATATTTCCTAAAAGCACTTATTTTTAAGTTTCCACCTGGTATTTGCTAGAGAAGACACTAGAAGGACACACAGACTTCAATGTTTATGTTTCAGTGCTCTTATTTTTACTTCTGTCAGGAAGGGCTGCATATTTAAAAGATATTAAAAATGTACAACTCTTGCCAGCAGCGCAGTAAAGTTTAAGGACTTCAGGTATTCCTTTTAAATGCAATAGGAAAACTAAAATCCTAAAGTTATTTTTCTTTTGAAAACTTAAGATGGAGAATATAGGAAAATCCCTCTGACCACAACTCAATTCTAAAGAGAAAGAGCAATATCTGATTTTAGTAATTTTTCTAATATAAGAGAAGTTAAATGTCATAGAAGTCTCTGCCTGGAGGCACTCATACCTGGACATACACAAGTACTTATACAAGTACCCCCAAAATGTAAATATTATTCCTAACTAAATACACTTGAACACTCTAGTACATACTCAATTCAGTCTAAAATAGGTCTTTCCTGTACTTTTTTCAACTCGGTTTGGTAAACGAAGAGCCAAAGAGACGGTGCTACGAAACAGGTATTCCTGTGTGGCTGGGGAGAGTCTCCTTTTGGTTGATTCCAGTTGAGAAATGTACTAATTTCTCTACTGGTCTGTGCATATGAAGCTCAGCTATCATACTACTTAATGCACAGAAAGAGCAAGGCTATCAGTCATATGTGACCTACCTAATACTATATTCCAAAGTCCCCAAATACACAGTTACTGTGATAAACTTGGTGACCACTACTTCCATCTCCCAGCTGTGTAAGGTGGTAGTGGGAGAGGTGATGTGGAAAAGGAAACTGCTTCAGTTTATCTACATGTGGTGTCTTCACTCCTGATTTCCTAATCTTTATTTTATCCCCATGAATAAAGCAAAGAAAATTGTCAAGTAATAGATCAGTGCATTATACCTTGATTCTTTTAATTGCAAGAGTTTATTTCCAAACAAGAGCTTCAGAAGCAATCCCCCAAATCTTGATAGCTATTTCCATCCATCTTTAAAATATTTGCCAAAGTGAAATAATTCACTTTCCTCCTTCTCTGAAAGTAAAAATCCTAAAGATTCGTGAAAACACTGGAGGGAACAGAGAGGCATAGGTGATAGAAATGGCCAGTCACAGTTCTTCTCCTCTGAAGACTAACTAACCATATAAGTTTACTGAACAGCTTCCATGTACCAAGCACAGAGCTCATATTTAGATTTAGGACAAATCTGGTTGCCAGCATAGTGAAAACTAGCAGCACTTACAAAGTAGAAAAAACAAGAAAACAAAAACCCTGCAGAATATCCTGGGAATTAGCTAATACTCAAAGTGAATTTATGGACAAAAATTTTTATGGCATTTTCTACTTTTTACTTTCCAACACCCAACAATGGCTGCTCAAAACTTCCAAGAAACTGAAAGCCAAAGGAATACATGGACCCTTATCCAACACACATATCTCATTCCATTCATGCACCCATTCGTTAAACTTAAGTTTTTAAAAGTGCTCACCCTGTGCCATTTCTGTACATTACTTCCATGTAACTGAAATATCATCTCCTTCACATTAAGTATTCAAAGAACAGTTCCATGAGAGAGAAATGCAGAAAATATATTTAGTTAGGGCCTTTCTACCATGAAGATCACTCAACTCTTGCTTCATAAACTGGATTCCAACTGCCAAGATGAGCAAAGATGACTTAGGCAGTGGGGATTTCTTTCTGACTTGGCATTAAAATCAGGTACGTTTACTGAGAAAACCAGAAACACACCAGTGAACCATAACACTGACATCAGATGCTTTTATAGAAACTTGCTAAAAAGCTAAAATGACAATGGAAGTCATGATTCAGCTCCTTCCTTTTCTATCATGGCAATGGCCATGGGCTAGTACCACAACTGAACTTTACCTGTAGGTTCAGGATTTTACTTCCCTATTTCTGCTTACAACTGTGAATCATGTGGCACTGGCACTTAAGGACTTTTTCAACAGGAGCTCCCTAAGACAGAGAATGCATCCTCCCTGTGAGTTCTGAAAGCACCAGAAACACCCTGACATTGCTCACTCAGCACACGGTTAACGCTGTATCACACCCTGAAGCAGCAGCAGGAAGGGCAAATGATCATAAAAGAATGAACACTGGAGGAAGAAAACCCAAAACACTCTCACAAGTGCACCCAAAGAGGCATTGTTTTTCCATTTTCAAATTTTAACATATAAGCTCTCTGGCTCAGAAGATACAGCAAGTTTTCACATCTTAGAACCGTGATGGCTTTCCCATTATGTCTGCTCTCTCTTCTTCTCTTCCCCTTCCCCATCTGCTCCTCTCCTCCCACTCCACCCACATCTCATTTCCTCTCCCACTTCCTGCCGATCTCCTCTGTGGCCTCACCGCAAGTGGTGACAGCCACTCTAGCCCCAGTAAATCTGGAGGAGGAAGAGTCCTGTGACAGTCTCACTGCTCAAGCTGCTCACTCAGATACAAACTCCCAGTCTGAACTTTCTATCAGTATCACCAAGTAAGGAGCCACTAGGAATGTATTAATAAGCCATGGCTCTCTGAGAGACAAGACTCCAACTGGGATTTGGAAGAGAAAAGAAAAGGGGGGCGGGGGGCTCAGTATTTATTCTTTAAAATACTGTGATTTATCATTTTCTAAAAAAAAATCCAAAAAAAAAAAAGCCCAAACAAAAATACTTCAATTTTGATTATGGCTGCACAACTCTGGAAATTTACTAAAAATTACTGAACTGCACACCTAAAATGATTTTTATGATGTGTAAATTACATCTCAATAAATTCTGTGATTTAGGGAATACATGCATGGTTGTAAAAAAGGACTAGTAAAATGAAACTCTATACATTAAATCACTTGCCTACTTACTTTCATCATCATAAAATTACCTTTTGCACTTAATCAGTTAAAGTACTGAAAACATTTTTTCCTACAAGAAAGAGACTAAAACAATGCAAGCTTATGATAAGTCCAATAAAGCCTACTGAAAATCAGGCATTTACAAACCACTAGAATATATATTCCTTATATGTTGAACATACGTTCCTCAGAGGGCACCATTAGGGCAATACCTGCCATGGCAATACTTTGGGGCATGACAATAAAAATTTTAAAAATCTAAAAAAACCCTTTAATTTAAAAAACTATATCACAACTTAAAAATTTTTTTTATTCTCTCTCTTTTTGATAGGGGTAGTAAGGACAGACATGTACAAGGAGCTAGGTTTCTCCTCCAGATACGTGGAAATGCAAAAGTGAGCAAGAGATAATGCCACTCCCCCACACACACACCTTCCACAGGTGGCACAGTGGTAAAGAATCTGCTTGCCAATGCAAGAGATACAGGAGATGCAGGCCCGAGCCCTGGGTCAGGAAGATCCCCTGGAGTAGGAAATGGCAACCCGCTCCAGTATTCTGGCCTGGAAAATCCCATGGACAGAGGAGCCTGGAGGGCTAGAGTCCATGAGGTCGCAAAGGGTTGGACATGACTGAGCGCGCGCACACACACACACACACGTCATGTCCCTCCCCCCCAAACACAAGTCACACAGAGCATCTTATAATACAAGAATTTAAACAAGGGAAGATTATTAGCAGGAATGGTCAGCACAATTCCTGAGGCAACAAGGAAAGGCTTTGTCTTCCTATTCATTCATGCAATTATTTATTAAGCACCTACTGTGTCTGTGGCAGGAACCGAGATTAGTGAACAAGACGGTGAATACTCAAGAGGTTTTGTAATTACAACTGCAAAATAGTTTCCACAAAGATGACTACAGGATGCTACACAACTGCTCATCAGAAAAACAGCTTCTCAAACCTTAGAGCGCTAGAAGATTCTTTAAGGAAGTGGACCGAACAACTGAGACTAGGAGAATGGGGAGGAGTTCTGTGAGTAAAAAGCAAGGAGAAGCGGAGCGGAGGTCGACGGAACAGCCTGGATACGGTCCGAGGCATAAAGAAGCACGTCCATCAGGGAACAGAGAGAACGTGTGGCTGCAGAAGGACGGTGGGGGAGGGGACAAAGCTGCAAACATAAGGCAAGGACTCTGAGGCCCTTCCTGCGCACAGCAGACACTTCTGGAAAACTCTTTCACGTGGAAGAGGTGTTCACAAAAAGGACAACAGAAGTAGGCATGTGGAGTCATCTCAGTGTGGTGCGGGCATGCTCCACAGAACCACATACCAGTGGGGAGTGAACTCTGCGAGGCAAGAGGAGGCCAGACGGTGAAAAGCTCTGCATGAAAGGCCAAGAAGCTGGACTCTACCCTGGGAAGATACTTCTTATTTAAAATTTTTAAGCCACTGAGTGCTACCAGTTCTGCATTTTAGTCAGATGGATCTGCTAATAGTGACAAAGCTGGATGACAGGGGGGTGAACCAGATTAGAGGGAGAGAGCTAATGCAATATTCTAAGGGGAAAGATACTGGGGCCTGAACTCACAACCTCATGCACAAGTTTTATCCACTTTGGGGCAATGGCTCTATTATTGAGTAGAACTCGACCTCCCTGTAACTTCTTCCCACCCAATTTGCCTCTAATTTCTCTTCCACAGTAGTGCACCTCAAAGA